TCTTGAGGAAAGTACGGATATATGTGGAAGGTAGTATGCGCCCGTACTACTGAAAGCAGAGGATCCGCACTCGAATCAAGGAAGGCTAAGATGAACCCAGGAAACTAGTAGTGTGTGAGATCCCTCGAGTTATGATGAGTATTATGATGATTTGTTTGACCAGCTACAGGGTGCATCTTGGTTCTCCACGATTGATCTGCGATCGGGTTATCATCAGATGCGAGTCAGGGACGAGGATGTCCAGAAGACAGCTTTTAGGACTCGCTATGGGCACTATGAGTTCGTGATGATGCCGTTTGGGCTCACCAATGCTCCAGTTGCGTTCTTGGACCTCATGAACCGAGTGTACAGACCGACGCTGGATTGGTCTGTGATTGTTTTCATTGATGATATCTTGGTCTATTCCAAGATTCAAGAGCAGCATGAGGAGTACCTGAGGGAGGTGCTGGAGACACTGATGAGGGAGAGACTTTTCGCGAAGTTCTCCAAGTATGAGTTCTGGTTGCGCGAGGTGTAGTTTCTTGGGCATCTCGTCAACTAGAAGGGTATTCTAGTTGATCCGGCCAAGATAGAGGCTGTGATGCAGTGGGAGGTTCTGAGGTCTCCAACTGAGATTCAGAGTTTTCTTGGTCTAGTGGGTTATTACATGAGATTCATCCAGGATTTCTCCAAGATTGCTGTTCCTTTGACCCAACTGACCAAGAAGTCGGTGACATCCCGCTGGGGGCCTGAGCACCAGGCAGCCTTCGAGACTCTTAGGCAGCGGTTATGCGAGGCACCGCTTTTGACTCTGCCTGAGGGAGTTGATGACTTCGTAGTTTATTGTGACGCGTCGATTACGGGCATGGGTGCAGTCCTGATGCAGAGGGGTCATGTGATAGCTTACACGTCGAGTCAGCTGAAGCCTCACGATGCTAACTATCCGACACATGATTTAGAGCTGGGGGCTGTAGTGTTCGCCCTCAAGATTTGGCGACATTACCTCTATGGGGTTCGTTGTACCATTTACACGGACCACAAGAGTTTGAGGTACCTCATGGATCAGCCGAATCTGAACATGAGGTAGCGTCGGTGGTTAGATGTAGTGAAGGATTATGACTGTGAGATCCTTTACCACCCGGGCAAGGCCAATATGGTGGCCGATGCCCTGAGCCTCAAGGCGGTGGCGGCTCCGATTAGAGATATATGTTTGAGGATGACAGTGATCACTCCACTCCTGGAGCAGATTAGAGAGGTGCAGGTTGAGGGCCTGAAGGAAGAGCGCTAGAAGTGCGAGAGGATTGTAGGTCGGGTGGCCTCGTTTGATTATGACAGCCGAGGGTTGTTGAACCTGCATGGGAGGGTCTGTGTTCCATACTGGGGCGAAGTACGACAGATTCTGATGGATGAGGCCCACAAGTCGAGGTTCTCCATCCATCTCGGGGCGACGAAGATGTATCGAGATCTTCGCCCTGACTACTGGTGGCCCTGCATGAAGTAGGACGTTGCTTGGTACGTGGAGCGGTGCTTGACCTGCAGGAAGGTCAAGGATGAGCACCAGAGACCACATGGCAAGATGCAGCCGTTGGATATTCTCGTGTGGAAATGGGAAGATATCACTATGGATTTCATTACCAAGCTTCCCAGGACAGCACGTGGGGTCGATTCGATATTGGTCTTCGTGGATCGGTTGACCAAGAGCGCTCATTTTATCCCGATCCAGGAGAGCATATTGGCTGAGAAGCTAGCCGAGATATATGTGCGTGGGATAGTGGCACGACATGGAGTGCCTGTCTCGGTGGTGTCAGACCGAGACGTCCGTTTCACTTCCAGATTTTGGAAGCGGTTCCACGAGGAGATGGGTACTCGTCTCTACTTCAGCACTGCTTTCCACCCTCAGACGGACGGACAGAGCGAGAGGACGATACAGACTCTCGAGGACATGCTACGCGCATGTGTTTTGGATTTCGGTGGCAGTTGGGATACGTATCTTCCGTTAGCAAAATTTTCGTATAACAACAGTTAGCTCGCCAGCATAGACTGACCTCCCTTCGAGATGCTCTACGGGAGGAAGTGTAGGAACACAATCTGTTGGGGTGAGTTCGTTCAGAGAGTAATGGGGAGTACTGAAGTAGTACTCAAGACTACAGAGCGGATCCAGTAGGTCCGGAGCAGGCTCCAGACTGCTCAGAGTCGGCATAAGAGCTATGCCGACAAGCGGCGTTCATATTTAGAGTTTCAGGTGGGCGACATGGTCCTCCTGAAGGTGTCACCTTGGAAGGGTGTCATCCGGTTGCAGAAACGGGGCAAGTTGGGCCCCAGGTACATTGGTCCCTTCAGGGTTATAGCCCGGGTGGGAAGGGTGGCTTATCGATTGGATCTACCGGCAGAGCTCAGTCATATCCACAAAACTTTCCATGTTTCCCAATTGCGGAAGTGCTTAGTGGATGATTCAGCGATTGTGCCCTTGGAGGATATTCAGGTTGACGACAGCCTGAAGTACATCGAGAGACCGGTGGCGATCCTGGATCACAAGACAAAAGCCTTGAGGAACAAGGTTGTTCAGTTAGTGAAGGTGCAGTGGCAGCACCGCAAGGGTTCAGAGTGGACATGGGAGCCCGAGGAGGAGATGGGGGAGCATTACCCAGAGTTGTTTCCAGATGCAGCAGACTTCGAGGACGAAGTCTAAGACAAGTGAGGGAGAATTGTAACGACTGGTTCCTGGTATGCATTTAACTTATTTATTTATTCATTTTAAGAGAGGGACTCGACGAGTTGGTGGCCCTAACTCGTCGAGTATAAGACAAATTATGCGCGAGGTTTAAGTTATCTACTCGACGAGTCAAGAGCCCTCGACTTGGCGAGTAGATCGGCCAGAATGAAACCCTAATTTCGGGGTTTTGCACCCTATTTAAGCATCTTAATCCCAACCCCTTGGCCTCATTTTGTGAGTGTGTGAGCCATTTGTAAGCAATCTTTTGTGATCTTGAAGCTTGGAGAAGAAGGAGTTAGAAGGCTCAAGAGGAAGAGAGTAGATCCAGAAACTACACTTCTTTGGCTACATTTTCTGGTAATCAAGTTTCTATCTTGACATCTAGTTCATTAGATCTATTCCTTTCCTTTTTATGAAGATTTTGGCCCAAGAATGATAACTTTTGGAGAGTGGACGGCCAAAGTGGATAATCTTCCAGATCTAGGACTTAGAGGGGTTGTTATCATATAAAGGTGCAAACTTTATGCCATTGGAGCCCCCATGCAAGACGTAGAGTGTTATATTGGCCATTTTAGTCCCAAAATGCCATGCATGTGGAGAAAGGTTGGAACTTTACGTGTCCAAGTAGTGTTAGGAGAGTAGATATGAAGTTGTAAGCCTTAGTTTGGTGAATGGATGGCTTAAGGACTAAGTTCTAGGTCCCAAGGAATCAGGGTTTGAGCTAAACCCTTTAAGAAGGGGTATTAAGGGGTAAAGTCAGAAACTTTACCCTTAAAAGGACATTTTTAGGGTTATTGTGAAGTATGAAGCTTGGATCTGAAGTGTAGGGGCTTAATCCATTAAGATAGCCCAAACAGACAGGGGAACTCGACGAGTCCAGTAAGAGACTCGACGAGTTGAAGTCAGGTTATCCCGATTTTTATGACAGGAAGAACTCGACGAGTTAACTCGGTTGACCACGAGTCTGAGTAGTACATGAACTCGCCGAATTGGGAGATAACTCGACGAGTTGGGGTTGACTGGGAGTTGACCTTGACTTTGACTTTGACCAGGATGTTGACTTTGACCATGGGTAAAATGGTCATTTTACCCTAAGAAGGATTATCAGATTCTGATTAAGTGTTATTGTGAAATTGATAGCAGGGGAGTCGTTGGAGCAGCCGTCAGGGATTCCTCACACGAGATTTCACAGCTAGCATTCGAGGTGAGTTTCCTCCAGTAGGAACGGGTCTAAGGCACCAAGGCCGGCCCGTTTAGTTAGTAGTAGTTCCGGACTATGGTCTGATGCCGTGCGGGGCCTGATGTAGGTTTATATGCTTTTTCGGATTTCGATCCGATGCCGGGGCGGTTCCGAGGAATGCTTGTATGCTTGAAGTCTTTGTGATTCTTGCATGTGTTTGTATTGAATGTTTCCGGACTTCGGTTCGATACCGGGGCGGTCCCGAGGAATGTTAGTATGTTACCGGATTACGGTCCGATGTCGGGCGGGGCCCGAGGAACGTTTAAGTGTTAATGTTATATGCTAGGTTTATGTGTATTGTTGTTATGCTCTTATGTATTCCAAGATTTGTTCGATGTCGGGCGAGGCTTGATGCCGGGCGGGGCCCGATGCCGAATAGGGTTTGATGCCGGACGGGGCCCGATGCCGAGAAAGCCGATGCCGAGCTTGACTCGATGTAGCAGGGGCGGGGCCCAATATATGTTTATGTGTTATGTGTATGGTATGTGGTATTGGGGAGACTCACTAAGTTTCGTGCTTACAGTTTTCAGTTTTGGTTTCAGATACTTCCACTAGCAAGGGGAAAGGCTCGGGATGTGTCATTCGGACACCTGAATTCTGTTTTATTTTGGTCATTCGATTATAGGAAGTAGTCTATTTCTAATAACATTATTCAACATTCTTTTCTTTGTTTGTTTACTTTATGGAATTCTAAGGCTATGATTAATTGGATGGACCAGATGGGAAATCCAATCCTGTCTTAATTTTGTTTTTTTGCTAATCTTTAGCTAGCCTCTTTGTTTTGAATTAAAATTGTTGTTGTTAAAAAAAAAATTACTATTTTACCAGACGTGACAAAAATAATATATGTTTTTTTTTTTTTTTTTTTTTTTTTTTTTTTTTTTTTAATAAGAAACTCTATGTTATTTAATATCGTTGTTTGTAGAAAAATCTATCTTGCAATATTAATAATAAACATTTCTACGATATAAACATGGTACTCCGTTTCCGTCGTATGGACCAAAATTTCGGCGTGTTCCGTAGATTGTCTTTGCCGATGGCTACCTTAAGACTCATTTGTTCCTTTGCAATTAATTCTCTTAAAAGAATATTTCGAATTTTTGTCTTCCAGTCTGACACCGCATGTTGGTCGTCTTTGTCGATTTCCCTTCATCCTCATCGATTCATTGATTACTGATTCCTTCATACTCATCACCTTCCACCTCTAGTAGTACTACTTCCGGCTGTTATTTTGCTTCCACCACCACAGCCGGTTGCTCTAGTAAATCATGTCGCAGAAGCGGCAAAAGCAGGACGATGTCAGTACTTCTTCACAGGAAGAACAGGAACAAGAACGGGAACATCAGTCGTTTTCCGATGCGGCAGCCCGTCGTAAACGTCCTTCTTTCAGAAAGTAACTCCGTCAAACCCTTACTCACCCCCAATTGAATATGTTTGTTTTTGGTTCGTTAGTATTACTCGATTAAATCTGGTTTTTGTGGTGTTGTATACGATTCCTAGCCACCACGTATTTGTTTTGGCGGGATTCGTGCTTAATTTGTTACTTTTAAGAATCGTAATCGACTTTAGAAGATTCAGAGAAAAGTAACTATTGAATCTTGATATATACAGTGCAGTGTTGGAGGTGATGAAGTTCTGTACAATCCACAAGTATGTGGAGCCAGTTTTGGAACCCTTGATCCGCAGAGTAGTATGTCACAAGATCCTCTTAATTTCTTTTCATATCCATTTTGAATCCAACACTATATAAGATACTTATATTGGCATTAATGTATATAGCAAAAAATGAACAACAAAATACGCTTACTACTTACTTGTCCTACTTATTTCATTTAATGAACTTTTTTATTGCTAATTAGATAACTATATCTGGGTACAGGTGAAAGAGGAAGTTGAAATGGCATTGGAAAAACATTTTGCACACATGAAGTGGTAAGGCATGAATGCATGATGAATACTACTTTTATGTAAGACTACTAACATATGTTCTTGACACAGGGATTGTGAGGATGAGATGGAATCTTTTCACCCAAAGAGCTTACAGTTACAGTTCCTAAGTGCTCTATCTCTTCCAGTTTTTACCGGGACCCGTATTGAAGGAGGAGACTGCAACATGCTAAAAGTAGCATTAATCGACGCTCATACTGGGAAAACAATTTCCAGTGGGATCGAATCATCAGCAAAAGTGGAAATAGTGGTTCTTGAGGGAGACTTTGGTGATGATTCTGATGACAATTGGACACTTGAAGAGTTCAGTGCTAACATTGTTAGAGCGAGACGTGGGAAGAAACCACTTCTTCATGGAAATGCACTTTTGAATCTTAAAGAAGGCATAGGTTTAGTGGGTGATCTTTTTTTTACAGACAATTCAAGCTGGATAAGGAGTCGGAAATTCAGACTGGGAGCACGGGTTTTGGACAATTTTGATGGAATTCGAGTGAGAGAAGCAAAGTCGGAGTCTTTTGTTGTCCGGGATCATCGTGGGGAATGTAAGTTTATTTAATAATTTCGATCACTCTCTATGTAATTTGGAATGTAAGGGTAAAATAGTCATTCAGTCTCATTCAAACTTTTTATTCGGTCTAGAAAAGAAACATAATACCTTATATCGGGAAAAAAAAACAACCCCTAAATCATGTCCACATTAAGTCTATCAAGTCAAAAAGAAACAGAACCTATAACTTTTTTAATAAATATGACGATGTGATTTTGCTTGGTTTTTAGTATACAAGAAACATCACCCACCGTATCTGTCTGATGAGGTGTGGAGACTTGAAAAAATCAGCAAGGATGGAGCTTTTCACAAGAGGTTGAACAAGGAAAAAGTCAAAACAGTCAAAGATTTCTTAGTTCTTTACTTTCTATACCCTGCAAGGCTTCGACATGTAAGATGTTGCATTCTTTGTATTATCTTGCTCATAAAGTTTGTATTTTTAACCGATTCTTTAGCATTGCAGATTCTCGGATCCGGTATGTCTGCTAAAATGTGGGAAGTTGCTGTGGAACATGCTACAAGATGCGTGATAGATGATAACAAATTGTATTTGTATTGTCCTCAATCTCATCAAAGGGATGGCGTTGTGTTCAATATTGTGGGACAAGTCCTTGGGCTCCTTTCGAATTGCAAATATGTTGTTTCCAACAAACTATCAGAAACCGAAAAGGTTAGTTTCTCAGACAACGCATATTCTCTTTCATTATTGTTGTGTTTGTTACATGACACAGTACAACCTGTTCTGTTTTGTTATGACAACTTGGAAAAATGGATATATAGACGGAAGCCCACAAGTTGGTGATATATGCATTTCAAAACTTGGAGAAAGTTGTTTCCTATGATGATGAAGCATCTCTTAGAACCGGAACTTGCTCTTTAACCGAAGATATAGGGAATAATGATTACCTTCCAAAAGGGCGATTTGATTATCCACAGATGAACGCTCCATCTCCAAGTGAATATGAGTCGAATCAAATGGGTTCAATCAATGTTGGATTTGATGAGCCTATGGACTTCGCATGCCATGTCGACAACACCTTGATTTGTGACCCGAGCTCATCGATGCATTTACAGTATCTTGGTACTTCTTCTTCTTCTTCACCCGGTGATTTGCAGTGTGCAGTTGATAGGTTTTTGTTTCCGTGTTCGGGCATGGGGAAAGCTCAGAGGAGATGGAAGATTGTGTCGAGTGTTGTAAAGTGGTTCTCACTTATGTTAGAGATACGCAAGGGGGATTTATCTTCAAATGCTCGATTGGTGGATGAAAATACTCGGTTTTAGAGGCGAGTTAAAGTTCAAATTTATGGTTTCTTGTGTACATACAACACCACAGCAGGTAATTTTTTCAACTCGGGACCTTTTATCAAACTGGAAAAAGTATAAAAAGATAAATAAAAAAATGTTCTGTTTTCTTAGAATGAATAATTTTGGACAAATCAATCACTGATTAGATTATATGTTCTATGATCTGCGTGTAGAAGGTTGGATTTGGCTGAGGTGATACGATGTTGCTCTATTCGTGTAAATTACATGGAGGCTGGAGCATAAGCAATGGTTTTAGATTGTTGATTGAATGGAGTATGATGGTGCTAGAACTTGTTACCCTGTTGCCCGAATTCTGATTACCACCAAAGAGGATATGTCAATTGTTGATCTACTTTCGATGTTGGAGTTGAAACGGGTCTAAGAAGTTAAAAATTGGTGTAGCAAGATCATCTGAATGTACATACTTGAAGTTGTTTTATTCATTCTATTTGTGTAAGAGATTTGGCAGTTGAGGGCCGTTTGGGCCGTGTGTGTTATGTGTTTCACATAACCAAATTTAGTTTATAAAGAAAATTTAAGTATAATTGTGTATAGAGAATAACTTGGTCATGATTTTGCCATGCAAAGGGAAGAGGGAGTCATTTCCTCCCAATCCATACATCAGTTTTTCTTATTCTTTTTTTTCTTCATTTTTTCCAACCCACAACACACGGAAATGTTATATTTTTCAACTCACTCAATTAAAAAAATACAAAAAAAATTAAGGTACAAGTCTTAATTAGCAATAGAGGTACAAGATACCACTCTCTCTTCAATGGGTTGGGAGTGGTAGGTTGTTTAATTGGTTTCACTAACCCGCTTCATTCCCTCTCTTTACTCTCTCTCTCTTCTTTTCTCTTGTACCATGTGTTTTAAAACTTGTACCTTAGTTGTTTTGTATTTTTTTTAATTGGGTGGGTTGAAAAAGATACGATTTTCATGTGTTGTGAGTTGAGAAATATGAAAAAAAAGAGTGAAAAAAAACTGATGTGGAAGTGGGTTGAGTGGGTTGGGAAGGAATGACTCCCTCCTCCCTAAGGTTAAATGGGACTCGAAATGATCCACTGTCAACCTAGATGGAGTTCATGATACCGAGGTCAATGAACTAAATGCAATTTTTTATTATTATCTAAAAAGGGGGAATAAGATGGGACATGGACTTATTTTCGATGCTCTTTATCTTTTGTTTTGACTTTTGAGGTATACACCCTTCTTATTCTCAACACACCAGCAAAAAGCTCGTGGAAACCCGAAACAATTACATCAAAATGTTTAAAATTGGATATTAAAGTCATAAATTCCAATAAATTTCCCATTTCCTAAATATAATTTTGACTCGCAATGCATCTAGACGCAACTGATTCGAAGATTTTGGAAGAAATTATTGATAACATCAAATCGACACTTGAAGTGGCCATGATTTGGGTTTTGTGAAACAACCCAAAATCGTCACTTGGTCACCACTTGAAGTGATGATTTTTGATTGACATGAAATTTTAGGTCAAGTTTCCTTTTCTCTCCTAGTCGATTTTTTGTGATTTTGCTTGCTTTTGATCGTCATTTGTACACTTGGTAAGTGTTGTAATGCCTCAACTAGATTATAACCTACGTAAAACGTGGGGGAACGTATAAAAAATACATATAAAATCATAAAAAAACGATACAATAATTATAAAAAAGAAAGAAAGATAAAGTAACAGAAACAGACTTCGTGTTATTGATTAAATTGAAAAGTTTAAAAAATAAAATGATATGTCTGAATATCTATTATAGTTGAAGGATCTCTTTGTAGACAACATTTTTTTTAATAAATGACATCAATATTCAGTATGGTTCCTGTTTTTTCAAAAGTAAAAAAAGTAAATAGCAATGTACTTTGAAAGTATATTGCTATAAGTTGTAAAGTTGTTTTTCTGTAAAGTTGTAAAGCTTTTTCTTAAGTAACATAATTGCTATATAGTAACCTAGTGTTTTTTAAAACTTAACAGAAAGTGTCCCTATTAACATATTAAAAGTAAACAACAATGTATATTGATATCATTTAAAAATTCGTTCATTTTTTTATATGTTAATAAAATTTTAAAATAACCAACCTATATTAAACTACAATAAATAGCAAAGATATTTACTAATTTATATATATATATATATATATATATATATATAGATATATATATATATATATATATATATATATATATATATAATATAATATATATATATATATATATATATATAGAGGTTTAGGTTCTATGGAAACAAAAAACCCTAAAAATCATAAACATGCATAAAAAAAATACTTAAAGATCATAACTTTTTTTTGAATTTTTTTTTATAAAAAATCGCAGCTTTTTCTTAAAATTCGCTGAAAAAAAAATCAATTTTCTTTTTTTTTATAACTTTTTTTTCAAAATTTTTTTCAGCGAATTTGCATAGAAAGCTGCGATTTTTTCAAAAAAAAGTTTTGTGATCTCTAAGTATTTTTATGCATTTTATGATTTTTAGGGTTTTTTTGTTTTCCAAATAACCATTCCCTATATAGATATATATATATATATATATATATATATATATATATAGATATATATATATATAGAGGGGTGAGATCGGTTGAGAACTCATAGTTTCCCGAGAACCCGAGAACTAAAAGTGGAGCGTTAGATCAAAACTAATTCAATAAGGGCATGATCGTAATCATACCAATCTCATTTAATGTTTATTTTTTTGTGTTATTTGAAATATTAATAACAAGTTTTAAAAATTAACATAATAACTCAAATTTCGGATTTTTTTACAAATTATTTTCGATTTTTTAAAAAAAAATGGAGATCTTTTAATTTTTTTTAAGAAAACATGATTTTTTTTAAAATGAAAAAAATATTAAAGAAAAAACTGTAATTTTTTCAAAAAACAACTGCATTTTTTTTAAAAAAAAAAACTGCAATTTTTTCAAAAAAATAAAAATAAAAATTGTATTTCCTTTTAAAAAAACAGCATTTTTAAAAAAAATATGCAAACTTTTCAAAAAAAAAAAGCTACAATTTTTTTAAAAACCCTGTAATTGTTTTTTAAAAAAATGCATTTATTTTAAAAAACTGCAGTTTTTTCAAAAACCAAATTTTTTAAAAAAGACACTATTTTTAAAAAAAAACTGCATTTTTTTAGGTGCATATATGCATATTTTTGGTACATTTATGCATATTTTTACAAGTGCATATATGCATATTTCATATATTATAATATTTGTAAAGGAGTCATAAAAAAACTTATTTTATTTACTAATCTATAAACACAATACAATAAGTATTTTATTCGATACAATATAAAATATCAAAAACAAAAAAATGCTTTTCATGTCTTCGTGTCAATATTTCCATATTTTATTCAATTTATCATTTTTCATCTTTTCAATATTCAACACAATTTCTTCCAAATCTACAAGAAAAATAAAAAGAAATTTATTGATGCAAAAACACTCACAAAAATACATATGTGATTTACATGTGAATCACATGTAATTCATATGTGAATTACATATGATTTACATGTGAATCACATATAATTCATATGTGAATTATTGTGAGTTACATGTGAATCACATGTAATTCATATATGAATTATATGTGATTCATATGTGAATAACATGTGATTTACATGTGAATCACATTTGATTTACATGTGAATCACATGTAATTCATATATGAATTACATGTGATTTAAATGTGAATCACATGTAATTCATATGTGATTCACTTGTGACATGTGATTCACATATAATTTATATATAATTCACTTATGATTTACATGTGAATTATATGTGAATTACATGTGATTTTCATCTGAATCACATGTAATTCATATGTGATTCACTTGTGACATGTAATGGTTGTTTTTATAAAAAAGCATTTTTATAAAGTACACCATAATGCATTAACAATAGCAAACCAAACCAAACCAAACCTTTGTTTATGAGCGAGGAGCGGCCATTTGTTGCTTCTTTATCATGTTTTACCATGATGTAAATAAATATACATATATATCAAGTAATTAAATAAAATGTTACAACACTATTCTTTTTTTTCTTTACTACAGAACTTGTCATAAAATGTTATAAACATCTCTTTTGTAAGTAAATAACGAAAAAGAAACAAACTTGAACTTAGTGGTTTACCTTATATCATGAGGTGTAATAAATGTCCACTGTGATCCTTGTGCCAGAGCAAAATCCACAACTGTGTCCAAGCTTATTTTTCTACTCACAACATCCTGCAATATAAAGATCATTAAAAGTTAAAACCAAGCCACTGATTGTGTTTTATTAAAAGAAATTTAATGTGGTTAAAAAGAAGAATATAAACAACTAATTATTCATGTAAAGTAATTTTACCATAAACACATCAAACTCATCCATAGCTGAAATGGAGCTTCTGTCATCTCATGAAGTGCAAATGCAAAACATAGTGATGAGAATGATTTCTCTCCTCCTGTTATGCACCATAAATATTATTATACAAAAAGGTTAAAAAAATGATAGTTAAACTCTGTAGATTATCCCAATGTATAAAAAAGTGGTGATAGGAGTCATGTGGTTAACAAGTATGACTTGTAGGGAAACAGAGTTTTATAGGACTTATAGCACCCGGTTCAATTCAAGTATGTAAATAAACATATGCAACTCACTGAACTCCCCGTATACATAAAAAAAGATGATGATAGCAACAAAAATAAACTCACTGGGACATAAACACAAACACATGGTGTGCATGAGGAACTTAACTAGAAGAGAAACTTGTGTGTCCCTCGATTGAAGAATATTGATGAATAGAGAATAATTATCATACATTAACAACAAAAACTAACAATCGACTTAAAAAATTAATCAAATGTTACAATACATTTCGCAATCGGTTAAAACTTGAGTCGAGATGGAGATGGACCAATGAATTATACCTTGTCGATCTTACAAATTGCAACTGGTCTGATTGCCATAAACTTCTGTTGTATAATATGAATCGACTTGTTTGTATAATCAGTAGACATGAATCAGAGCTACATTCATATAAAATTGTGACTATAACGACGATATGGAACCGATGGATTGAGATATACCTGAGAAGAATCAGTTTCAGTCTAGAAAACTGAATACATGAGATGCATCCAGATTTGAGATCTTAGGGAGACAGACTCGTAGTCGATGTAATAGGTTTGGAAGGGTGGAGGCGGTGATGTATAAAGGATATGAATATTCGGGAGATAAATTAAGATGCTCTCAATCTGGAGGCAGTAAGGAGATGTCAAGGAAGAACGTAAGTAAACACAACACCATCATAAGGTGAGGCGATGGCGGGAGGAAGGAAGTAGAAAGAGATGTATCATCGTTGTGTTCTTCCGTGATCTCTCGTCGATGCTTTTCCGAGCGTTGACACCTCCTACAGATTTGATTGGAAACAGGGGATGTCGATGGAGACAGAATAGAGACGATGAAGAAGGTAATCGATTGATGGCGTGACGATTACTGGACGCGACCATAGATTTCAGATGGTGGCGTTGGATTTCATCAAATAATCAACGATGAAGTTGTGAAAGAAAGA